GCACCTTGTTTTGCCCAGGGAAAGCGGCCAAGCTGCAGCAATGTAAAGGAAGCCAAGGGCCCAGGAGCCCGCACGCTTGTGTTGCTTCTGGTGTTGGCTTGAACACCTCCTAGCGTCACGGGCCAAACATGAAGTAGCCCTACCATCTCAGCTTGCAACGTTCTTGCTGCTGGAGTTGTGTTCGTGCAAAATGCTGCGCAGAAGCCGTGTACCTTGTTTTGCAAGCTGCACATGATCCTTGTGTCAGAAGGTCTGCGCCAATGTTATGGTAGCCAAGGGCCCAACGCCTGTGTTGCTTCTGGCGTCGGCTTGAACAGCTCCTGGCGTCACGGGCCAAACAAGAAGTAGCCCTACCATCTCAGCTTGCAACGTTCTTGCTGCCGGAATTGTGCTGCTGCGCAGAAGGAAAAGGACCAGGGTTGAGCTAACTCTGAAACTGAAAATGCCGAGACGTTGCAGAATATCGCATTTTGCGTGTTGCATCGGCTTGCGCAACAGTGCTCCGTACCGCCAAACAGTAGGAATGCGGTGCAAATTTCAGCAGCCGCACACCGTGAAGTCCAAGCTTCGTTAACAGGGCTGTCCTTTTCATGCGGGGCAAGCTTCGGTGTAGGACCTAATTAAAGCAATGCGTTTTGCGTGGACAAACGTCGGCCACAACTTCGATTCATCTTTCAAGCTAAGTCCATGGTCAGGCGGTCTGGAGGACCGTGTATTTTGCTGGTTGTTGCTTTAATCCGGAAGCTGTCGGAACACCCTGCAAGCTTCCTTTTGCGGCCCCGGACGCCCCAGTTTGGACTTCCGGCAGAATGTCATGCCCGCCACCAGCAGCAGCTTCTTAAATACGCAGTATTTAGTAGGCTGGACCCCCTTCCCCCTCCATGTTTGCTCCGTCAAGACACGTTTTGGCATGCAAATTGAGCGTCGCGTCACCCAGAATGAAATATGATAATTCACCTAGACGACATTGCGCCTGAAGTCGCCAGTGGCCTTTTGAACAGGTCGAAGAGTACAGATCAGGAGGGACTGCCCCGAAAGGTTGGCAATATTGCCGAGCCTTTTGGTTCCGATCCTTTGGCCAGATGTGTTTTAGCTCTTGCCGCGAATTTGTTTTTGAGAGACACGGCGCTGTGCGCAAGTGGGGCCCGCTTCGGCAAGATCGTGCGTTGCCAAGCAGCGAGACAAGTGCCATGCTGTGATTGCTTTGCCAAGCCCAAGATCTCTTCTGTTATCAGTTCATGCTCAGAGAAACGAGTGGTGTTCCCCTGCCCCGCAGACCGTACGCGCTGAATGCATGTGTAAGTCGCACGCCCGAGCCAACAGATGATTCTTCTTGTGCCCATTATGATTTCCGCTACCGCCAAGTCTGCAAGCTTGTCAGGCGATGTGAACTGGAAGGCAGAACGCGCAGGCGAGAAGAGATGTAGGGGTTCCCGGTTTTGGTTACCCACAAAAGCACCTCACCCCGCAGACTCCAGTTCGAAGTATGTCGCCTTGGGTTGAAGTTGTCCACTACCGTCTTGGGTTAAAGTTTTTCCGGAAGAGCAACCAAGTGTGCGGCTACTGGTCGAGCTGTGTAAGATCAGGCTCTTGACGTGACCCGGCCATTGAGGTAAAGAGTTCCGTTGCGTAGCCACGAACTCTGCGCAACGCGGAGTGCGAAGAAGCACCATTTGAGGAATGGAGGCGAGTGCTCCGGCAATTCTTGGATGCAAGATGCCCCCCTTTTGCCTCTCGAAAGGGCCTCCCAAGAACACTCATCCGGATGTTGCTTGAATCCGCCCTTAAGGGCATGCGCTCTGGCAGCTTATGAGTGAAGGCAGACATGCCAGTGTGGTGGCTCTGGGATATTTGGCCTTGCGTAGCGCTGTACATGGGGTATGACTACTCAAGAGGAACATTGTGTCGCAGATCTCCCAAGAAGTGAGGCGGGGCCGAACTTGAGCGACTCATTTTGGGATGTTTTTTGGTTGCACCCCTCCTCCTTGATCAGTTTTGAATGGAAGCCAACATGAAACCAGCTCCATTTGCAGACACATCCATGTTGAACATGTCACATTTACCAGCCAATGTGAGTTGGATTTGGCGAGCCATGTGACGTTTCCAGAAGTATTCTTTGTTCAGACCAAACCCTTGAGGAGACGCGTGTGCACGATTCAATCCACGCGCCGAGCTTAGTTGTTGAATCATGGCAACATATGAAACAACTGACAACGACAAACGTGGATGTTGAATGAAGGACCTTACATAGACAAATGAGCCAAAACCAGAAACCTTTTGGGAAGGTCAAGTGGGGGGAGCATGCCCAACCAATAGAAGCGGATGTCCCCCTGGTGTTTCCTTGAATTTGGGCGCTTCGCCATCACAGTCTGCGCTTGAAGCATGCTGTTGAATTCGCTAAAGGTGTCGTAGCAGGTGCATGGTTGTTCCTCCAAGACTCAAGAGGAAGCAAAGTCAAGAACGCCGGGGGGAAACACGGCCCAGCTACTTACTTGAGCTGCCGTCGACAAATTGTCCGCTGTTGTAGGTAGTTTTCTCGATTGATGTTGTGGGGAAACGCAAGCAACACGGTGCAAAGCATTGTTTGTATGTCACCTCACTTTGGTTGTCTCAAAATGGGAGGGACCCTCAACCAGTTTCACAGCCTGTTTTCTTGATTTGTTCCCCAGATAGCTGAAAGCTATAGGGGTTCTAACTTCTAATAAAGAACGAAAAGTGATTTGCGAGATTGAGGGCCGGGTGCTAGGGGGCATGCAGTTTGGGGTGCTGGTGGAGGTGCTGCTTTGCGAGCTTGACGGCCGGGTGCCAGGGGGCATGCAGCTTGGGGTGCTAGTAGTGGAGGTGCTGTTTTGCGAGAGTGATGGTCGGGTGCTAGGGGGCATGCAGTTTGGGGTGTTGGTGGAGGTGCTGTTTTGCGAGATTGACGGCCGGGTGGCATGCAGTTTGGGCTGGCGGAGGTGCTGTTTTGCGAGAGTGATGGCCGGGTGCTAGGGGGCATGCAGTTTGGGGTGTTGGTGGAGGTGCTGTTTTGCGAGAGTGATGGCAGGGTGCTAGGGGGCATGCAGTTTGGGGTGCTGGTGGAGGTGCTGTTTTAGCTTGACGGCCGGGTGCTAGGGGGCATGCAGTTTGGGGTGTTGGTGGAGGTGCTGTTTTGCGAGAGTGATGGCCGGGTGCTAGGGGGCATGCAGTTTGGGGTGTTGGTGGAGGTGCTGTTTTGCGAGAGTGATGGCCGGGTGCTAGGGGGCAGGCAGTTTGGGGTGTTGGTGGAGGTGCTGTTTTGCATGGCCGGGGTGTGCTAGTGGAGGTGCTGTTCTGCGACAGTGATGGTGGAGGTGCTGATTGACGGCCGGGTGCCAGGTGTGACGTGCTGGCGAAGGTGCTTTGCGAGATTGATGGCCGAGCGCTACGGGGCATGCAGTGGGTGCTGGTGGAGGTGTTGCTTTGCAAGAGTGATGGCCGGGTGCTAGGGGGCATGCAGTTTGGGGTGCTAGTGGAGGTGCTGTTTTGCGAGAGTTGGCCGGGTGCTAAAGGCATTCAGTTTGGGGTGTTGGTGGAGGTGCTGTTTTGCGAGAGTGTTTGCCTGTTTTGCGAGAGTGATGGCCGGGTGCTAGGGGCATGCAGTTTCGGGTGTTGGTGGAGGTGCTGTTTTGCGAGATTGACGGCCGGGTGCCAGATGTAGTTCGGGGTGCTGGTGCTGTTTTGCGAGCTTGACGCAGTTTGGGGTGGTGGTGCAACTGCTGCGTTGGGTTGCCGGGGTTCTAACTTCTAATGAAGAAGTGGGATTGTTTTGCAAGATCGACGGTTGGGAGCTAGGGGGCATGCGCTTTGGGGTGCTGGCGCAGGTACAGTTTTGAGTTGCTGTTCGGGCTGGTGACAGTACGTGACGGCAAGGTGCTTGGTTCTCGGGGACCTGTCCAATGCTGGTGTGGGTGCTGCGTTGGGGTGCTGTTGGGGCTGCTGTCTTGAGGTTTTGGTGACGGTGTGGGCGCATATGGACGGCAGGGTGCTAGGGCGGGTGCTGTTTCATGATGCCGTTGAACCGGTTCGGACGTTGTTGCTGCTCTGGTAGTCTAACAGTCGTTTGTCATGGTGCGTGGTTCGTGGCTGGTGTGTCATCATGATGTTGTCACCCGCGTCATGATGCTGCTGTCACTGCGATGCTGCGATGCTGCGTTATGGTTCGTGGGTGTGGTGGCGCCATGATTGCTGCCAACATCAAGATGATGCTGAATTTCACTACGCTGTCGCGAGAAGATTCGTGGCTGTGGTATCATCATGCTGCCTTTTCAATTTTACCATTACCATGATGCTGTTCGCATCACCATGATGCTGTCCGCATCATGGTGGTGCTGTCCGCATGATCGTGATGCTGTCCGCATCATCATGATGCTGTCGAACTCATCAGGACGTCGTCTCTGCCTTTTTTCTGCTAGATATGTGGCGCGGAATCGTTCGTTGCTGGTGCATCCGCATGATGCTGTCAACATCATCATTTTTGCTGCTGAACTCATTAGGACGCTGTCTTCGTGTCTATTTAGCGCACATGCTGAGTGGCTGTGCATGATGCTGTCAACATCATCATGATGCCTCGGGAACCATTCTGATGCTGCATAATGGTTCGTAGCCGTGATGTGCTATCTGGGGTCTACGCTGGTGTAATTTTTTTAATCTCAAATAGCAAAGGCTCCGCAAAATGGTTCTTTGTCTTCTGGAACCCCGGCCCCCCCGCCGACAGTGCTAAACCCCTCGGGTCTTGCGGGCCCCATGTGCCGAGGACTTGCAATCCATGGACTCTCGAGCCCTACCGAGAATGTATCTTTCCGCTCGATGGCGCGGCGAGCTGCAGTACTGTGATGAAATGTGGCTTGCCGATTTCACTGTCCAATCTGGGCGCCCGTACGAGGATTGGGCCCGGCTGTTGCAGGCTGCTGCCAAAAGCGTCCGAGCCATGTGCTTGCGTTTGATGCAGGGATGCGACGCATGGCACACCCGGCGCAAGAATGGCAAACAGTGTGTTTCTGCAATTTGCCCCGAATCATCAGTCATTGGCAAGGCTGCAGCAAAGCGAGCATGTTCTTGAAGGGCTTTTCAGCCCATTTAAGCTGAGAAGCGCTTGTGCCGCCTTCATGGCCTGCGTACCGTGCATCAGGAAGTGCGCCCTTCCACCGCCAAGTGTCTGTTGTGACACACAGCCCCCTGGCAGGTTTGCCATGATCCAACCCGGCTACCGCATCATGTGCCTGCCTCACTGCACACTGCTGATAATGCTTTATACGGCCCCTGGCTCAGCCCAGCCAATCAAATGAGGCTAGGCCAACTGCAGGATCAGCAATGCAAATTGCTTGGAGGAGCAGTTTTCATCACTTGGCAGCAACAGCAATCCTCATTTCCAGCAATCTTTGTAATGTCTCAGCTGCTGCTGCCCGACCACTTGGCGGCAACTGCAATTCTGATTTCCAGCAATCCTCGTAATGTCTCAGCTGCTGCTGCCCGACCACTTGGCGGCAACTGCAATTCTGATTTCCAGCAATCCTTGCAATGTCTCAGCTGCTGCTGCCCGACCACTTGGCGGCAACTGCAACTCTGATTTCCAGCAATCCTTGTAATGTCTCAGCTGTTGCCCGACCACTTGGCGGCAACTGCAATCCTGATTCTAGCAATCTTTGTAATGTCTCAGCTGCTGCTGCCCGACCACTTGGCGGCAACTGCAATCCTGATTTCCAGCAATCCTTGTAGTGTCTCAGCTGCTGTTGCCCGACCACTTGGCAGCAACTGCAATCCTGATTTCCAGCAATCCTTGCAATATCTCAGCTGCTGTTGCACGACCACCTGGCGGCAACTGCAATCCTGATTTCCAGCAACCCTTGTAAGATGGAGCTGCGCAACGCTCTTGCTCAGTGTTAAGTACAGCTAGTTCGGTGGTTCGCCGTGGATGCGCAGACAGTGAGTGCACACTCCACAAGAGGAACATTGTGTCGCAGATCTCCCAAGAAGTGAGGCAGGACCGAACTTGAGCGACTCATTTTGGGATGTTTTTTGGTTGCACCCCTCCTCCTTGATCAGTTTTGAATGGAAGCCAACATGAAACCAGCTCCATTTGCAGACAGTCACATTTACCAGCCAATTTGAGTTGGGTTTGGCTAGTCATGTGACGTTCCAGAAGTATTCTTTGTTCAGACCCAACCCTTGAGGCGACGCGCACACAAGATTCAATCCACGTGCCGAGCTTAGTTGTTGAACCATGGCAACATATGAAACAACTGACTGCGACCAACGTGGATGTTGAATAAAGCGCCTTACATGGGTTTCGTTGAATTTGGGCGCTTCGCTATCACATTCTGCACTTGAAGGTGAACATGTATTCAAGGGTTCACCATGCTTTTGAGTTCGCTAAAAGTGTCTTAGCAGGCGCGTAGTTGTCGCTCCAAGACTCAAGAGGGAGCAAAGTCAAGAACGCCAGGGGGAAAACGGCCGAGCTACTTAACTTGAGCTGCCGTCGACAAATTGTCCGCTGTTGTAGGTAGTTTTCTCGGTCTCATTGATGTTGTGGGAAAATGCAAGCAACACTGTGCAAAGCATTGTTGTATGTCACCTCACTTTGGTTGTCTCAAAGAAGGGAGGGGCCTGCCAAGAAATATCGAATTCCCGTGTAGCTTCTTTTGCAGACCCCAAAATGGTTCTTTGGCTTGTGGAACCCCGGCCCCCCCGCCGACTGTGCTAAACCCCTCGGGTCTTGCGGGCCCCATGCGCCGAGGACTTGCAATCCATGGACTCTCAAGCCGTGCCGAGAGTGTATCTTTCCGCTCGATGGCAACGCGAGCTGCAGCGCTGTGATCAAAAATGCAGCTTGCCGATTTCACTGTCCAATTTGGCCGAGCCATATGGGCGTCCACACGAGGAATCCTTGCCCGGCTGTTGCAGGCTGCTGCCAAAAGCGTCCGAGCCATGTGCTCGCATTTGACGCATAGCGCACCCGGCGCAAGAATGGCAGACAGTGTGTTTCTGAAATTTGCCCCGACTCATCAGTCACTGGTGAAGCTGCAGCAAAGCGAGCGTTTTCTTAAAGGGCTGTTCAGCCCATTTAAGCTAAGGCCATTGCAAAAAACTGCCAAGCGCTTGTGCCGAAAATGCGCGCCTTCATGGCCTGCGCGTCGTGCGTCAGGAAGCGCTCCCTTCCACCACCAAAGTGTCCAGCAAAGTGTCCTTGACTTGTGACACACAGCCCCTTGCCATGATCCAACCCGGCTACCGCCATTTGCCTGCCTCACTGCACACTGCTGACAATGCTTTTGTGACTCCGAAACATCAAAGACCTCCAAGCCCCAGTCTGTAGAGTAACACATACCAAGACATACGGTCGTTTGGGTCCCCAATTTTTGGTTCTGCGCCCAGCCAACGAAATGAGGCTAGCCAACTGCAGGATCAGCAAAGCGCATTCCTTGCTGAAGCTTCCTTCTGCTGGCAAGCTTTTGATCCCCTTGAGTTTCCCTCCAAAACAACCCGAAACGGGGGATTGCAAGCAGAGGATTGTCATGTCTCAGCTGTTGCCCGACCACTTGGCAGAAACTGCAATCCTGATATCCAGCAATCCTTGTAAGATGTAGCTGCGCAACGCTCTTGCTCAGTGTTAAGTGCCGCTAGTTCGGTGGTCCGCCGTGGATGCGCAGACCACAACAGGAACATTGTGTCGCAGATCTCCCAAGATGTGAGGCGGGGCCGAACTTGAACGACTCAATTTTGGGATGTCTTTTGGTTGCGCCCCTCCTTGATCAGTTTTGAATGGAAGCCAACATGAAACCAGCTCCATTTGCAGACACATCCATGTTGAACCTGCCACAATTACCAGCCAATTTGAGTCGAGTTTGGCCAGCCATGTGACGTTTCCAGAAGTATTCTTAGTTTAGACCGAACGATGTGCACGCACGATTCAATCCACGTGCCAAGCTTAGTTGTTGAATCGTGGCAACATATGAAGCACCCCTTTGGGCGCTTCGCCATCACATTCTGCACTTGAAGGTGAACATGCATTCAAGGGTTCGCCATGCTTTGAATTCACTAAAAATATCTTAGCAGGCGCATGGTTGCTCCTCCAAGACTCAAGAGGAAGCAAAGTCAAGAACGTCAGGGGGAAAACGGCCCAGCTACAACTTGAGCTGTCGTGACCAAGTTGTCTGCAGTGGTAGGTAACTGTCTCGGTCTCTTTGATGTTGTGGGGAAATGCAAGCAACACTGTGCAAAGCATTGTTTGTCGCCTCACTTTGGTTGTCGCAAAGAAGGGAGGGGCCTTGTAGCTTCTTTTGCAGACCCTATAGGCTCCGGGGTGGCCCGGGGCGGCCCTGACATAATCACGACAGTTCGACCAGGCCACCAAGGTTCCACAAAGGTTCCGCAAATCTCTGCGAGGGCTGCGTGATGGTCCGGGGCGGTTTTGAGGTAAGGTTCTTCCACCAAGGTTCCACGAAAGTTCCACAAGGTTCTGCGAGGGCTGCAGGGCGGTCCGGGGCAGCCCTGAGATAAGCTTGGGCAGAGATTCGTTCCGCAAGGGTTCTACAAAGGCCACAAGGTTCGCAAGAGGATTCCATCACGAGGGTTCGGGAGGCCTTGAGGTAAGGTTTCACAGGGTTTCACCGAGTTCCACAAGGGTTCCACAAGAATTCCAAGGGTAGTTAAGACAGCCCAAGCAAAATCGGCGGCGGTGGATTGATTGGTAGCTTGGAGCTTCCCGGGTCTTGGTCGGGTCCTGATTGCGCCGTCGGGGCCCGCTGGCACCATCGGGCCCTGCTGTACCTTTGCACTGGTAAAGCGGCATCCTAAGCCAAACCGGCGGCGCGCTATGATTGGTGGCTTGGATCGGTGGTTTGCTTCCCAGATCGGGGCGCGCTGGCACCATCGGGCCCTGCTGTACCTTTGCACAGGTGCGGCATCCTAAGCAAAACCGGCGGTGCGCTATGATTGGTGGCTTGGATCGTGTTTGCTCATTGGGCCCTGGTCGGGCACCAATTGCACCATCGGCTGCACCTTTGCACAGGTAAAGCGGCGTCCGAAGCAAAACCGACGGCGCGATATGCTTGGATCGGCGGTTTGCTTCCCAGGCTGCGGTCGGGCCCGAGCAAAAGAGTGCACCGCATGCTGTTGGGGATTTCACCTGAGCTTATTCTTAGTTTGTTTTTGGTTTTTCACCCGGCTCCCCCGCCGACAGTGATAAACCCCTCGGGCCTTGCGGGCCCCATGCGCCGAGGACTTGCAATCCATGGACTCTCAAGCCCTACCGAGAGTGCATCTTTCCGCTCGATGGCAAAGCGAGCTGCAGTGCTGTGATCAAAAATGCGGCTTGCCGATTTCACTGTCCAATTTGGCCGAGCCATAGCGTCCACACGAGGAATCCGGGCCCGGCTGTCGCAGGCAGCTGCCAAAAGCATCCGAGCCATATGCCCGCATTTGATGCAGGGGTGCGAGGCATGGCACACCCGCCGCAAGAATGGCAGATAATGTGTTGGGTAGATTGAATCCCTTCAGCGTGCTTCCGGGTCATCAGTCATTGGTAAGGCTGCAGCAAGGCGAGAGTTTTCTTGAAGGGCGTTCAGCGTTTTTTAGCTGGGGCCCTGGCGAAAAACTGCGAGGCTTTGGCTTGTGCCGAACATGCGCCTTGGCCTGCGCAACGTGCAGGAAGCGCTTCCCTCCACCAAAGCGTCTAGCAAAGTGTCTTTGACTGTGACACACAGCCCCTTGCAGGTTTGCCCATCCAACCTGTCTACCGCATCTCATGCCTGCCTCGCTGCGCACAGCTGACAATGCTTTTGTGACTCCGAAACATCAAAGACCTCCAAGCCCCAGTCTGTAGAGTAAAAAATACCAAGACGTACGGTCCCCTGCGTTCCCAATTTTTGTGGTTCTGCGCCCAGCCAACGAAATGAGGCTAGGTCAACTACAGGATCAGCAAAGCGAATTCCTTGCCGGAGCAGTTTTCATCGTGGATGCACGCTTGCAGCAATGCCATGCTTCCTTTTGCTGGCAAGTTTTGATCCCCTTGAGTTTCCCTCCAAAACAACCCGAAACGGGGGATTGCAAGCAGAGGATTGTCATGTCTCAGCTGCTGTTGCCCGACCACTTGGCGGCAACGATATCCAGCACTCTTTGTAATGTCTCAGCTGCTGTTGCCCGACCACTTGGCGGCAACCGCAATCCTGATTTCCAGCAATCCTTGTAATGTCACAGCTGCTGTTGCCCGACCACTTGGCGGCAACTGCAATCCTGATTTCCAGCAATCCTTGCAATGTCTCAGCTGCTGTTGCACGACCACTTGGCGGCAACTGCAATCCTGATTTCCAGCAATCTTTGCATATAATGTCTCAGCTGCTGTTTCCCGACCACTTGGCAGCAACTGGGTGCGCGTGGGCGCGCGTGGGTGCGCGTGGTGCAATCCTGATTTCCAGCAATCTTTGTAATGTCCCAGCTGCTGTTGCCCGACCACTTGGCAGCAACTGCAATCCTGATTTCCAGCAATCCTTGTAAGATGTAGCTGCGCAACCGTCTTGCTCAGTGTTAAGTGCCGCTAGTTCAGTGGTCCGCCGTGGATGCGCAGACAGTTCCTGCACACTCCACAAGAGGTTCATTGTGTCGCAGATCTCCCAAGAAGTGAGGCGGGGCCGAACTTGAGCGACTCAATTTTGGGATGTCTTTTGGTTGCGCCCCTCCTTGATCAGTTTTGAATGGAAGCCAACATGAAACCAGCTCCATTTGCAGACACATCCATGTTGAACATGTCACAATTACCAGCCAATTCCAGTCCGGTTTGGCCAGCCATGTGACGTTTCCAGAAGTATTCTTTGACCGAACCCTTGAGGCGACGCGTCACAATCAAGGCGCCGAGCTTAGTTGCCAGTCGCTTTGTGGCCGAAAACCAGCAACAAAACACCCTTACAGCGTGGCGCAGGAGCATGTTTCTGGTTTTTGGACAACAAGCAGGTGTGGTTCCTTTTTGGTCGGATAGTCTTTTGTGTTAGGCGTTCAAGGGCAATTGAAGCCCAAATGGCGCGCCCCCTATCGGTTTGTGTTAGGGAGCCAAAGGGCGCCGCACACCTTGAAATGGGTCGATTGGAAACCCTATGACTATGACGGCCCTTCTTCTCGACGACTTTCGCTTTGGGCTTGACACGACATAGGCGGCATGCGGTCACGCTGGTTGCTAAGTTTGCCACGAAAAGAAAGTTGGGGAGCGAGATGCTACAATGAGGGTAATCTCCTCTTTTCCGGGGATTTGTCGTTTCCGGCGGGTCACGGCCACGCGCATCCGTTTGCGCACTACTTGCTGGATCCATTTGTTGCAGTCTGAGTGCGTTGACTCGCTAATCCATTATTTTTCATGTTGCATTCTGAATTTCTGAACTTGTGATGAATTTATGTATTTATACAGAGCGACTTAACAGTTAGGACTTTCCGTCTGGGTTTTCCTTGTTAGCCAAACCAACAATCATGCACGCTGACAACAAGGTCTTGGTTGTCCTCTTATATCCTTCTTTCTTGTCTGCGGAGGCCCAAGGAGCATGTCAGGTGAGGGTTTTCGCCCCTTGGAAATGTGACTAGTTGGATATAGAAAGAATGCGCCGCAACGGTTCTCAAAGCTACTTTGGTCCTTATGCCAAACGGGCAACCAATGGGAGCCATAGTGCGTTTGGGAGCCCCGCCCAAGTTGGGTGAGGGGATGTTTTGGAGGGCGATGTGAGAGCCGGGCACGAAGCACGCCCCCAACTTTTCCCCGGGCTTCTTAGCCCTTGATGCAAAAAACAGCTCCGTGAGGCAGCCGGTTGAGCATATCTGGCTACCGGATTCGTGATGCGCGGCTGGCCCTCTATTTAGGGGCCGGGTCCGCAGGTTTCACTCAAGTGAGCAACAGACTCAGACGTGTTATTTATTTATTAGGCAAGCAGAAAAGGAATTGAACAGAGCAAGGGCGTAATGATTGTGTGCCAGTAAAGCCCGGCAAAGCCGGGGGGGCGGACGTTTCAAAAATCTAAGTAGTTTGGAGCAGGTCTTTTACTTGTTTGATCCACGTGCTGCGTCCTTGTGTTGTTGTTTTTTTCATGGGCTATGGCTGTTATGTTATGCAGCAAGCAATCGGGCAGGCTTTCTTACAAAATTACATTTAAAATTATATTTGCAATCTAATAAAAAATTGGTTTTAAAGACATTTATGCTTGAATTTAATATATATATATGTTAACGGTCAACCGTAGGTTGTTAGTGCTTTATCTCTCGAGGCTTGCTCCCTGTTTCTTTTGTTTTGTGTAAACAAAAGTGAACAGGGATGGGCGCAGCTTTTACAAGCTTGCTGTCCCAGAAGCGAAGGTGTGAATGGCATTCACTTGCGTTTCAAGTTCAAGGGGAAGGGAGGGCGGGAGCCGCTCATCTTTAGAATGGAGTATTCTTGCACCCACCCACCCACACCCCCGCCTACAGTGGCGGTCAGATAGGCAAAAAGAGGTAGGCCAGTCCGCACCTTAGAGAATCTTGCAGATGCTCTGAACCCGTCCAGAAGTTCCAAGAGAGGGTGAGAAGTGTGATGTTTTATTTTCTTGTCCGCAGTTTGACAGGTGACGTCGTTTCACAAGTTAGCAAGCCAGCGACGGTTCTCGAAGCCTTGTTGCTCGGGGCGTTTCATAGCTGGCATGCTTTGCTGCAACAGTCTCAAACAAGTGCCCAGACAAAGTCTGGACTGCCAGGGCAAGACAGCAGTGTGTTTTCATTTGCCACAGCAAGTGTAAGTCTGTGGGGCAGCGCAGCATTGGCCGCTGAAGAAGTTCAGACAGTGCAAGCTGACACTCCGATTCAAACCGACGACCCTGACAAATGAGTTTCGTTTGTGTGCGTGAGAGAGCGAGAGAGAGGGGCTGCTCTTGTGAGTGCATCGCGGCCTTGTTTTCCCCCTGTTTTTTTTTGGGGTCTTTGTTGCGGTTTGGGGTGCCCCTTTTCGGGGGAAACAAAAGGCCCGTTGCTGCTCCTCACCCACACACACGCACACCTAATGACTCGGTTGCGCAGTTTTACGAATTGAACGCAGCGATTGTTTTGATGCATGAGTGAAAAAAAAACAGAAAGAACGTCTGAGGGCTTGAGAAAGTCTGCGTGGAAGTCATGCGCGTGGCCCAAGGCGGAGTGCCATAGGGGGAAGTCCCCGATGTCCTCACTCACAGAAAGTGAGGCCGCGTTCGAAAGTCGAGCGGGAGAAGTTGGGTTGACCAGCGATGAAATCGATCTCTTGAAAGGACAAGGGATCCGGACCCTCGGTCGCCTGGCGTATGCAGTCTCTCAGCCGGGGACGCCAGCGCCCGAGGCGGGTTTGAAAGCTCTCCTGACAACCGCTGGAGGCGGTGATCCTACAGTGGGAGCCATATCATCAGTCAGGAGATTGACTTTTGAAGCGCAGACGTTGATTTTGTCACAACTCAGGCAACTCGCAGAAACTGGGGAGTCCGGTGGACAGGTTGAGCTGCCTGCCGCGGAGAGATCTGATAGGCTTGCAAAGCAGAAGACTCGACTCACAGGCCTAGAGTTGACTGGTGAGCTGGAAGTCTCCCACGCTGCCTACAACTTAGTGGCTCAGATGTTAGAGCATGGACAAGTTGTTTACCTTCACCCCAGCAGGTTCGGAACTCGCAGATCAGAGCTCCTGCAAGAGAAGCCGCAGAAGCAACTAGCTTTCGACAAAAACCTGGTGAGTGTCAAAGATGTGGTGAAGGAAGCAAAATGCTCAGTGGACAACGAGTACGATATGATGCAAGCCTTGACAAGGCGCTCTCTGGCATTTGACCTGACTGGTGTGTGCTCTTTTGCTGAGATGCAGAAGTGGAGCAGGCACCTTCTCCACCAAGTGCGTGCAGAGGCGCCCCCAGGGTACGAGAGTGTGACGTTGGCGCAAGCCATCAGAGCAGACAAGGAGGCCTTCTTGCGACTTGCAGAGTGGACCGCAGACGGCTTGAAAAGGCGCGCTGATGGGACGCTCCCCTTTGAAAAAGGCATGGAACGTCTGTACTCTGACCCGAGCATACAGTTTCATTTGTTGCCACTGCCTGGGGCGAAGCCACTGCCCAAGCGACCAGAGAAGCGAGTGAGCTCGGCGGCTGCTGGAGCAAGCGACGTGGAGCCCAAACGTTTGGCCAAGAAGCCCAAAGGTGGCAACAAAGGTGGGGGCAAAAGCAGCAAGACTCGAATGCCTCTGCCGAAGGGTATGTTTGGTAAAGCAAGCGAGACAAAGTCTGGCGAAAGGATTTGCTGGGCATACAATCTGGGCGGCTGTGACGGTGCCGGCGACAATGAGTCATGCAGTCGCGGCAAGCACGTCTGTGCTGAGATCGGATGTGAGAAAGGACACCCCATGAGTAAGCACCGCTGACATGAGGTGGATGGTACGTGGGAGCGGCTTTTCCGTTCCCGCGTTGAGGGCAAGGATCTCACCAGGCTGCTTTTCGTAGAGGTTTTCTCCGGGAGTGGCCGCCTGACAGCAAGTGTTAGGCGCGTCGGGTTGACAGAGAGCGTAGGTGTCGACCATGTCATTGCCAAGCAATGCGCTGCGCCGACCGTGAAACTTGATCTCACAAAACAGTGCGAGCTCTTGTTCAAGATTTTGGATTCACCATTTACAGCAGCAGTGCACTGCGGACCGCCTTGCGGCACAGCGTCCAGAGCAAGAGAGATAGTCCGCAGCGGACCTTGTCCAAAGCCGCTGAGATCAGATGTGTATCCCGATGGGTGCCCATGGATTTACGGCACCGATGCTACAAAGGTTGCAGCTGCAAACGCACTTTACAGCCTAACAGCAGACATAGCCGACCTGTGCAGCAGACGGGGAATTCTCTTCACTGTTGAAAATCCTGCTCGGTCGTTGTTTTGGGAGACAAGTTTGTGGTTGCGGACCCAGCCCTTGCAGTTGCATGCCACCTTCTTGCATCATTGCATGTTTGGATCGTCAAGACGCAAATTTACACAGCTGCAAGCAAATTTTGCGGAGATTTCAGAGCTGGGAGTGCTGTGCAATAACCAACATGGGCACCGACCGTGGGGTTGCATACCCAACAAAGGCTGGGCTACGGCCGAAGAAACGGCTTATCCTTGGCCACTTTGTGCAGCTTTTGCCCATTTGATCAAGAGTGTCCTTTTGGAACACGGTGCGCTTGAACCAGCCGCATCCCTGACTCAGGCTCAGGATTCTGTGTACTTCGCGCAAATCAGGCAAGCAAGGGCAATGACTGGAGTTCAGCCACGCGGCCGCCGTTTTCCTCCTTTGATCAGTGAATTCAAACACATTTTCACACTTGTCGGGCCTCGTCATTTAATCCCAACACAATTTTCCAACGATTGGACTGTGCCTCACGGTGTGACCTGTTCAAGCAGCGTTGGAATCGTGCCTGCCGGCAGCAAAGTTATACGAACACAATGGCAGGGGGGTATTATAAGACCAGCGGGGAGCAGAGCTGACCTGGATACAAAGTCAGATGTTGACCGACTCTTCAAGGCGGTGGTGGGTGTCTTTTGGACACCCGATGAATTTTTGACCCAAGCCTCCTCGATTGCGCACCCCAGATGTCTCATGGCGGGTTTGCCCGAATCACTGAAGGCTGCAATTCGTGCCAATGTTTTCGCTTCCGACGAGGACCTCGGAAGGGAACGAACCGCAGTTTTGAGACGCTGGCTGAGCTTGGCTTTCAAACTGAGGGACGAGGAGCAGACTATGCGTGCTGCCATGCCTGCCCATGGGGAGTCCATCACGCGCGGCAAGAGGCTTGCTCTTTTTCGTGAGCTGCTGCGTGAAATCAATCACCCTGACGCACTGCTTACAGACCAGATCTGCAAAGGCTACGACCTCACGGGTCCAATCCCGGCCAGTGGGGTTTTCAAGACCAAATTCACTTTTGCAGAGATGAGTGTCGAAGAGTTGAGAGCAACGGCAGAGCTGCGCAGCCGAGGAATTTTGGCAAGTGTGAAATCTTCTGGCGACACAAGCCTTGACGAGGAGCTCCACAAAATTACTTTGCAAGAGCTGGAGAAGGGCTGGCTCGAAGGGCCCGTCAGCCCAGAAGCGCTCCCTCGTGGGGCAACTGTTTCAAGACGTTTTGGAATTTGGCAGGGAGGGAAATGCCGCCCTATTGACAACCTGACTGAAAGTTTGATCAACTCGACCTGCAGTTCCTGTGAGGGCATTTCTGTTCACACCGCTGATGTGATTGGTGCGGCTCTGGGTTTTCGCATGGATCTCGGGCGACGTGCAGGCATCAGCGAGAACTTGAAAGCTCAGTGCTGGGATTTGAGGAAAGCGTACAAGCAACTGTTCGTTTCGGCCTCGTCACTCTGCGACTCGTACATTGGGGTATGGAACCCGTCAACTGGCGTTCCGGAGATTTATTTGCAGCTGGTACTCCCTTTCGGGGCTTGCGCTTCGGTGAACGGTTTCATTCGTGCAGCAACCGGGTTGTGGGGCCTTGGTACTGTCCAGCTGAAACTGCATTGGAGTGGGTATTATGATGACTTCTTCGCAGTTAGCCGGGCACGTTGCTCGGATCACACACAACTGGTGGTTGCGAGCTTTTTCCGCTTGTTGGGTTGGGACATCTCAGACGATAAGCTCGTTGCTTTTTCAACTGTTGCAAAGGTCCTCGGGTTGGAAGTGGACCTTGGGGATTCACACCTTTTCGCTTGCAGCTTGAAAAACACTCAGAAGAGAATATCAGAGCTGTCGGAATCCATTGCAGGAATTCTGTTACAAGGAGCGCACGCGCCAGGAGAACTGGCTTCGCTTCGAGGGCGCTTGCAGTTTGCAGAGACTCAGATGGCAGGGAGGCAGTCATGTAGAGCCATGGGTGTGCTCAATTACTTTGTGAGCCGTTTTCCAAGAGGGGGCCATTTGCATGAGAAGCTCAAACTTGCGCTGACCTTTCTTAGGGATCGCGTTGTTTTGGCCAAGCCAAGATTGATCGTGCCAGCCACATGTGAGACACTAGTTGTTTTTGTGGACGCTTGCCACGACGATGGGAAAGCAGGGCTGGGGGCCGTCCTGGTGGCCAGTGAAGACCAAAGGGGAAGTTTCTTCAGCAGATGGCTTGCCGAGTCCGAGCTCTCACTTCTGAACTTGGCAGGGAGCGCGAACCCCATTTTTGAATTAGAATCATGTGCAATTGCGGTGGCGCTGCAGACCTGGAGCAAGTATTTTATCAATCGCCAAGTTGTTGTCTACACAGACAACAACGGCGCTTTGGGATGCTTTGTCAAAGGGCAGAGCGACAGCGAGTGCGGCAGACTCCTCATCGAGTGGACCGAATCGTGGGAAAGGGCGAACAACGCCCGCCTGTGGTTTGAAAGAGTGCCTAGCCACTCAAATCCAGCTGATGCTCCTTCTAGAGGTTGCCGAGATCTGGGAACAACCTTAAGTGAAACAGAAGCAGAACTTGGCGAAGTGCTAAGTGCGATACGCCAGAGTGGCAAGAGTGGCATGGGGGTTACAGTGGCGGTCAGATAGGCCATAGCGGATGAAGTCCTGCTTGGCATCGCGGGAGTCGCGCAGTTTCACGCGCCAACATCCCCAAGCTGCTCTGAGTGAGAAAAAAAAGAGAGAAGGATGCATAATGCTGAACGGTGATGAAGTGTTTTCTTTTTCTGGAAGGTGTATCAAATATGACACCAGGTCATATTTCTCGTGAGGAGATTTGATGTGTATATATTATATATACGATCGAAGTTTGATTTTTAAATATGGTCTTTACACGCCTCCGGCTTCACACGCCCCGGCTCGAGAATGCTGGGGATGCAAGCTTGACTGGCCCAGCTCAGGAACGCAGGGGATGCTGTTTGCCTGCTGGCGTTGCTTGGCCTTGTCTGTGCCCTGCTACCAGCCGTAGCGAGATAAGTTAACGGTCAACCGTAGGTTGTTAGTGCTTTATCTCTCGAGGCTTGCTCCCTGTTTCTTTTGTTTTGTGTAAACAAAAGTGAACAGGGATGGGCACAGCTTTTACAAGCTTGCTGTCCCAGAAGCGAAGGTGTGAATGGCATTCACTTGCGTTTCAAGTTCAAGGGGAAGGGAGGGCGGGAGCCGCTCATCTTTAGAATGGAGTATTCTTGCACCCACCCACCCACACCCCCGCCTACAGTGGCGGTCAGATAGGCCATAGCGGATGAAGTCCTGCTTGGCATCGCGGGAGTCGCGCAGTTTCACGCGCCAACATCCCCTTGAGAGAAGGATGCATAATGCTGAACGGTGATGAAGTGTTTTCTTTTTCTGGAAGGTGTATCAAATATGACACCAGGTCATATTTCTCGTGAGGAGATTTGATGTGTATATATTATATATACGATCGAAGTTTGATTTTTAAATATGGTCTTTACACGCCTCCGGCTTCACACGCCCCGGCTCGAGAATGCTGGGGATGCAAGCTTGACTGGCCCAGCTCAGGAACGCAGGGGATGCTGTTTGCCTGCTGGCGTTGCTTGGCCTTGTCTGTGCCCTGCTACCAGCCGTAGCGAGATAAATGGTGTTAATTTATATTAAAAATCTAATATAAATTGAATTAGACATTTGAATTATATATTGTTTTTATAATTTAAATAAGAATTGGGAATTATAAAAAAATATTTATTTGATTTTATTTATATATATATATATATTTAAATTTTGAATACATATTGGTATTTGAAGTTTGTAGGTTTTACTTAAGTGAGCAATAAATTTGGATGTTTTATTTATTTATTAGGCAAATAGAAAAGGAATTGAATAGAGTAAGGGCGTAAAGATTGTGTGTGTTAGTAAAGCCCGTTAAAGCCGGGGGGCGGACATTTCAAAAATCTAAGAATTATAGTTTGGAGTAGGTTTTTTACTTGCTTGATCCATATATTGTGTTTTTTCCCTTTATGGCTTATGGTTGTTATGTTATGTAGCAAGTAATCGGGTAGATGTTCTTTTAAAATTACATTTAAAATTATATTTGCAATCTAATAAAAAAACGGTTGTTAAAGAAATTCATATTTGAATTTAATATGTATATAAATATGGTATTAATTTATATTAAAAATTTAACATAAATTGAAGTTTGAAAGATATTTAGATTTATTTTTTAAATTGAGTTAGAAATTTGAATTATATATTTTTTATATAGTTTTTAATTTTGAATAATTATTGGTATTAGAAAATATGTTAAATTGAATGTATATTTAAATATACAGAAATAAATATATATATATATACATATATTTAAATTTATTTTTAAAACATGTTTTATGTTAATATAACAATTATTTTTTTATAATGATATGTTAGTTGGAATTTTCTTGATTTTTACTGAAATTATAGGTTGTTGAAAATGTTTGATGTTAAATTTATTATATAAAACGGAGCGGCGAAATTGCGCTTGTATAAATTCTACTCCCACGTTCGGAGATCGGGACCGGACACAAAACCTACAAATCCTCGAGGATTTCCCTGTTCCTGCATCCTTCGCAGCGCCGCAAAGGCTTCGCAGAAAGTTGTCATATTAAGCAGCCTGGACGAAGCCAGAGAATTCTCGAGAATTTGTGTTTTTTTCGTTCCGTTACGAACCCAATAAAATCTCGAGATTTCCTTGCATTGAGATTTCCCTACGTTCTTCCGGCCATAGATTAGACCTTAAATTCTCCAATTTTCTATTTATTGTCCACGCCAGAATTCTCGGGAATTTTCAGAATTTGTCCTGGGGCGCTATTGGCGCAACACACCGCGGAATTCTGTCCTTGTTGTATGCGCTTTTTTTCTTTTGTGTCTAGCTGTCAGGGCGGGTGAACGAAGCCATCGTTTCGAGCGGTTGCCCTCTCTCGTTAGAAGGAAATTCCCAAATACATTCTATTCCACCTGGTAGGTTCCTAACGCTCGTCCGTCCAGGAAACGACCTCGTCCTGCGAAGGATTCGAAATCTAAAATGCTGCGTATAGGCGTGTGATTGCAACAAAACGACCCCTAGATATGTTTGCAAAATGTCCCGCAGCTGGGTTTCTGCAAGGCGAACTAAAAAACAGGGGGAAAAAAAGGAAGAAAAAAAAAGGTCCAAGCCAGCCAAACCCAGCCAGAAGCCAGCCAAACCCAGAAACCAGAAGCCAGCCAGAAGCCAGCCAGAAGCCAGCCAAAAGCCAGCCAGAAGCCAGCCAGAAGCCAGTCAGAAGCCAACCAGTCAACCAGTCAACCAGCCAACCAAAAGCCAGCCAGGCTTTCCTTTGCTTTAAGGGGATTCGCCTTGCAGAAACAAAGGCAGTTACGGGGCTTTTGCCAAACCGCAAACCTAGCAAAACAGATTTAGAAACTTGCAACATGGAGAACTGAAAAGCATGTTGCGCGCGCCGACTCAGCGCAAAGCGCGCGCCAGGGAGGAACCGAGCCCGGGACCACCTTTTTCAGAAAAAGACGCAGGGCCACTAGGCCACCGAAACTACGGCGGGGCCCCCGCCGGTCCGCGCTTCAGCCGCGGCCAAGAGGGCTCGACCTAGAAAAAGCGCGCAAGTTTAGCGTGGTGCAAATTTTGCGATTTTGGCCCCCGAACTTGGATTTGAACAACGAAACCGATTTAGAAGCTTGCGGGACACGCGCAGAACTAAAAAGAAAGTCTTAAGAAAGCCCCTGCGGGCGCGCCCGTTGAGGGCAAACATTCAAATATATACTTCAAGACGTGAATTTTTGAAACGAAGATCATCTAAAGCTTCGATCTCAATCCACCACCTAGATTCCATTACTAAGGGCCAGCCTCAACAAGTTGCCGGAGCAACTTAGAAAACCGAACTTGGGGGCGCGCGGCGGAAGCCACGCGGCAAGAACAACCCGGCGATTAACAAAAGGTTGCGAGCAGCAGCAGTCGCCGTGCGTGCGGGTGGCGGACAGCAAGCAGCGAGCGGTGAGGAACAAGCGGCAAGCGACCCGTCGCGAAATTCCTTGCCAGAGGAAAAGCAAAGGCAAAAAGTTGGGCCGACATCAAGCTCGCTTTCGTTGGCTCAGCAACCGTCGTCGGCCGGAGTGTCTTGACTTGGAGGAAAAGGCTTCACTAGTAGATTTTTTGTAGCATAAACTGTTTTAGGAAAAGTTGAGCCGCGCAACGGCTAAGCGAGAAGCTTCAGAAGCAGCCCCGTGATTTCGAGCGGCTGGAAGCAGAAATCCGTGGCAGAGCCACGAAAAAACTCCCGGCAGCCCGACGCCGCCAGAAGGGAACCGACCCCGGAACCACCCGTTTCAGAGACGGACGCAAGACCACTAAGTCACTAGGCCACCAGCCCCGCGGCGGCCCCGGCGCGCCCACGGCTCAACTGCGGCCGCAAGGCCCCAGCCGGAAAAGCGCGCAAATACAAATCTTTTAGAGTTTAGGGTTTGAGTTTGGACCCCGGCAGGGCGAGTGATAAGGGAAGCGCCTGATCGCGCAAAGACAACGCCGGCTTTTAAAGCTTTACTGCGCTTGACTGGGGCGGTCGCGCGCAAGGGGTCTTCGCGCGAAGACGCGAAGCTGTTGCAAAGAAGCCCGGCTGTGTCGACTCCGAGCACGCGTCGGGCCATAGTGGAGTCCAAGGCAGCGATTTCCTTGCTAGGGGTTGCAGATACGTTCCCGAAGCGGAGGCTGGTTCAGGAAGGCTGCAGCGATTTAATCGCTAGCGCTTGCCGAGCGCTGCAGCTGGACCGAGTTGAGTGGCAGAAGCGTTTGCCGCGTGAAAGTTGCCCAAAGCTTCGCTGCGCTGCGCGCTTGGACTTCGCAACCGCGTCCATGCGGAGCTGCTCTGCTTCATCCTCGTAAGGACTTTGAGCGAGCGTTGCCAGAGTTAAGGCCAAGCCTGCAGCGATGTCAACGCTAGGAGTTACAGGTAGTTTACCGCTTGAAGGCGCAGCTACGACGGTTGGAGCCCAAAGCTTTGCTCCACTTGGTCGACTCGCTCCTTCGTAGAAGGCGACGCGCGGGCGATCTGCTTCGAAGGCGAGCAAGAGGTCGGCAACGATCGGTCGTTTGCTGGCAGGCTGGCAACAAGCCGTCGTCCGTTCGCTGTTGGAAGCGCACAAGGCGGGAGCGACAGATCAGTTAGGGGCCATCGTTCAGGACGCGGCTTCTGCGATTCGCCGCGAGTGTTGGGGGCCGTAGCGCAGGCCACGGCTTCAGCGGATTTGTCCCGAGGCCGAAAGGGCAGACCCTTTGATGTTCTGTTTGCCGAGTGGCAGCCCAATGGCCAGATCTCCTTGTTTGGGCTACTGGCCAAAGTCATATGATCCCGTATAAGGATTTCTCGGCAGCTGCGCCAAGCCATTTCCAGCCCTGGCGGCCGCTTTATCGAGGCTGGCCATTTGGCTATTTTATCAAAGTCCAGCCATTTTATTAAGGCCAAGTGCCATTTCGTCAAGGCCAATGACCGTCTTATCAATGCCAATGGCAATTTTATCAAGGCGACAATGTTATCGCAATTTGCTCAAAAGACGTCCGAATGGCCAGATCTCTAGATTTGGGCCGCGGATGGCCAGATTCATATGATCCCGTATAAAGAATTTATTAGCAGGCGGGCCAAGAATTTCCGGCCCCGGCGATTCGACCAAGTGACGTGGCCAGCGCGCGCGACTGCCCCAGA